CACTATGACCTTTAGAGGATTTCAAGAAAAGACATCTGTAGTCTTTTTTCAAGCCTAGGTTGAACATGGGCCACAACTGAGCTGACATCCCCAGCCTACAGCAATAAACCCAGCTCCACGTGGATTTGACAGCTGGGGTCTGCCAAGCCTGACACATTATCTAAGGCTGGTGCGTTATTCCTTTCTATGAATTCCTTGTATCCTCTGGCTTACAAAGACAGCTCAGAAAAGTTCCCAGAGTGCTCATTCAAGCTGTCAAGTTTTGTTACCCATTTTGAATGAAACCAGTCGGTCCCATGAACTTCCTTATTTCTTCCTATTTTTTATACAGTGTCTTATCACAAGTGTTCAGGCTCTCAGAAACACTTGAAGCTTACATCAGAATTTGGTGCTCCTGAACCCAGCCTGTTTTAAAGTTCACTGAAATGCCTGAAGCTCATTCACACTGTCTGCTGTTTTAAAAAAAAGTAGCAGTCTGCCCTCTAGAGAATCATTTATGTGTGACATTTCACAGCCCTCCTGAACTTGTTATAGTTTTAAGGGATTTGGGTTGAGTTTTCTATGTATTGATTAAATGTTTTTCCACCATAGATAGCAACTTGTAGACAATTGATCAATGATTTTCACTACAGATACAAAGATACCAATTTATAGATAATTGGTCAATACTTTTTCACTACACTTATTTATTTATATTTTTTGAGTTGAGGGTCTTACTCTGTTGCCCAAGCTGGATCATGGCTCGATTATGACCACAGCCTAAACCTCCTAGGCTCAGGTGATCCTTCCTCCTCAGCCTCCCAAGTATCTGGGACTATAGGGTGTATGCCACCACACCCAGCCAATTTTAAAAATTTGTTTTGTAGTGTCAGGGTCTTAATATGTTGCCTAGGCTAGTCTCATACCTGTGGGCTTAAGCAGTCCTCCCACCTCAGCCTCCCAAAGTGCTGAGATTATAGGTGTGAGTCCCCATGCCTGACTGTCTAGGTATATTTCTTAATTTGCATTAATAGGTAGTTTCTCTCAATAATATATACTGAATAATTTTTTTTTTTGAGTTGGAGTCTCATTGTGTCACCCAGACTGGAGTGCAGTGGCCGCTCCCGGCCACCGCAGCCTTGACCTGCTGGGCTCCGGCGATCCTTCCACCTCAGCCTACCAAGTAGCAGGAACTACAGGCGCGCGCTACCACACCTGGCTAATTTTTTGATTTATTGTAGAGATGAGGTCTCACCAAGTTGCCCAGGTGGGTCTCGAACCTGCGGGCTCAGGCAATCCACTCACCTCAGCCTCCCAAGGTGCGGGATTACAGGCTGAGCCACTGACCCTGGCTTATACTGAATAATTATTTATCATAGAGCACATTCTAAAAACAAACAAACAAACAAACAAACTAAGGTCAGACTATCTCCAGTAATGAATCTCCAGGGTTTTTCAAATACAAGTAAATAGTAACAAGATCAGAGCCATACATTAAGTAAATGTCAAATAACCTTAGGCTTACGGTGAACAAAGACCACCTCACCGCCCATATTGTTAGGAAGAACCAGACAAGCTCAGACATTGGTGGCCTACAATGTCTTTGAAATACCCCCTCTCACATGCACACCTGTTTCAACTCTCACATACCATCAGGGCCGCCATGTTGCAATCACTTACCCACCCCCTAGGCTTTCCCTCTCATTTTTTGAACATTTTAGCTCCTTCTGTCTCACTGTCCCTCTTCAATATTAGTTTTGTCAGACTTTGCAGTGATTTCAGTAATCCTGAAAATGATTCTTTCTTGCAACTTAATCTTCTCAGTTTCTCGACTTTCTCCACTGATCTTGTCTTTAACTCAACCTCAGCTACCCTCTCCTAAGGGACACACCTCAGGCTTAGTCACTACCAATACCTGAACCCCTCTGTCACCTCAACTTTGAACCTTCCCCCTGTCAACCACCACTTTCTACCCTTCCAACTACCATCTCTAATGCTCTTGACTCAACAATTCTTTGGTCCCTCTGGGATGTGCAATTCATTGATTGCTCACTTTTCATTGTCCCTTAGCTTCCTCATTTCAGTTCTGGCTCACTTTCCTGGCTCTAGTCCTTATTTTTCTTTCTACTCAGTTTAAATGCCAGTGTCCACCATTGCAACAACTGCCTTACATAAACCCTTGGTTTCTTTGTCCTCTCCTTCTCAACTTATTTAAAAACAACAACAACAACAACAACAATACTCACCTGAACTTGCACAGCTGAACATGGCTGGGAGAAAAACACATAACCATGGAGATGGTCTCACCTAAATTTAATAGCACTGCCCTCAAGCAAGTCCTTAATACTATCTGGCCACCATGATGCCTACCCTTGGTTGATTCACTCTTCTCCCCCCTCAAACCTCCAACTCCTGCTTCTTATCCTCACTAACAGCTGATGACCTGCTTGTGACTTCCACTGAGAACAGAAAAGCAGTAGAGGAGAACTTCGACAAGATACTTCCACCACCATCCTATCCATCCCTCTACTGGCCTCAAAGTCCGCGTTCTCCATCTTCTTTCATGTAGGATCTTCTTGTGTGTGTCTTGTGTCCTCGAGAAATCATTCCAGATATTCTCTCTCCCTCTCTTTCTTGCATCATTTTTTTTCTGTTCAAAAGGATTTCCCCATCAGCATATAAATATGCTGTCATTTCTTCCATGTGCAAAAGTACCCTCTGAAACCCCACTGTCTGTCCAGCATCACTCCCTTTCTTTGCTTTTCTTTATAGCAGTCATCATCAGAAGAGGAGCCCCTGGCTCGTCTCTTTCCAGTCTCCTGTGAGCTCTTTCTAGTTATGCTCTGGAGCCTGCCATTCTACCAAAACTGACCTTTGAAAAGTCACCTGTGACCTCCATGTTGTTAACCCCCATGGTCAACCCTTGGCCCTCATCTTGCTTGATGTCTGCGTAGCAATTGATAGAACTGATCACTCCATCCTCCTTGAAATGTGTACCTGGGCTCTAGACTCCATTCTCTACTGATTATTCTCCCATTGCCCTGGCTGCTGCTTTCAGTTTTCTTTTCTGGGTCTTCCCCAGTTCCTCAGTTTCTTCATGTTGGATTTCCCAGGTCTTAGCCCACATGACTCTGTTTTCTCTGCTACCTCTACTCCCTTAGTGTCTCATCCAGGGTCAAGGCTTAGATAGCATCCACATGTTGATGATTCTCAAGTTTAGATACCTTGCTAAACTCTAGATTTATATTTGTCCATTGGCCATTTAATTACTTTTCTCAGATGCCTAAAAGGTCTCTCAACTTAATATGTACCAAGTCAATCTCTTAATCTCCCTCCTCCCTAAATCTCGTCTCATTCTTCCATATCTCATTTCCTAGTACTTCATTCATTCTGTGACTCAGACAAACCTTGGAGTCACCTATGACTTTTCTCTTTTCTCTCATATCCCACATGAAATCCAACAGAAAATACTGCAGTTTCTACCTTCAAAAACATGGCCGTAATCTGATGGCTCCTCACTACTTCCTCAGCTACCATGCTGGTCTAGACTCTTAGGTCACAAGGCCAGTTAGTTACATGGTATTAAATGGCCCAGACACCAAGGCTGCCTTTTCCCAGGCTGGAGGGATGTCTGAGGCCTCTTGCCTTCTCAAGTCTCATGTTCAGGTTTCACCATTTCTGATTCATCTCTGTGCGGTCAGAATTGCCATCTCTACTTAGTCCTCTTATTTATCTGTTTGTTTACTTATGTACTTATGAATCAGGGTCTCATTCTGTCGCCCAGGCTGGAGTGCAATGGCAGGATCACAGCTTACCACAGCCTTGACCTCCTGGGTCCAGGCGATCCTTCTGCCTCAGCCTCTGAAGTAGCTGGGACTACAGGCACGGGCCACCATACCTGGCTAATTTTTTTATTTTTTATTTTTGTTGGTATGAGGTCTCGTTACGTTGCCCAGGCTGGCTCGAACCTCTGGGCTCAAGTAATCCTCCCACTTTGGCCTCCCAAAGTGCCGGGATTACAAGTATGAGCCACTGTGCCTGGCTGAGAACTCTTGATGAGGTGGGCCCTTCCTTCCCCTAGCAGTTTCCCTCAATTGACAATCCCACCTGCCCCCTCCTGGCACTTTCCCACTACTGACAATGCCTTTCTTAGACTATTATGATAATTGTTCAAGGTCTACTTATGAGTGAGAACATATGGTACTTTGTTCTTTCTTTCTGTGATAGATCACTGAGTATGACAGACTCTAAATCCATCCAAGTTGCTGTGAAGTCCATATGTTTGTCCTTCTTTATGGCTGCATAATATTCCATTGTGTATTTGTACCACATTTTTTTAAAATTCAGTCCAGCTTCCATGGGCAGCATGGTTGGGTCCATGTTTTTGCTATTGTGAATAGAGCTGCAGCAAACATACATGGGCAAGTATCTTTTTTGTAGAATGATTTCAGTTCCTCTGGGTATATTCCCAATAGGGAAATTACTGGGTCATATGGAAGGTAACATTTTTTATTTATTAATGCATGTTAATATATATGAGTGGGCGTGTGTATCTCACCATGCCCTCCAAGTACTTAAGACAGATCATAAAAATACATAAAATGCACAAAACATAGAAAAATAAGTGAGGACGTTAGGCAAAGGATAGATAGAGAAGATTCAGGTGAACCGAGGGAGGAGTGAGGTGAGCATATAACATGCATGTCATAAGGTCCATATAACGTGTTTGCTAAATGGGAGTGACACACAAGTCCCCTCTTCTAATGTGCACTTTGTTGTCACAGTGCTTTCTGCTTGATAAGTCACTATGAGCACATAAGTCACTATGAGCACTATGGCTCCCAGAGCCTAGACAGGGAAAGGGTCTTGTGGGAAGGGAAAGCCTCAGAAGAAGAAGGGAGGCGACACTGACCAGGAGTCTCCTCACCTGTGACCGGATTCTCCTGTACCACAGTCATCCCCGCTATTCCCCCAGCCTCCTACCTCCCTAGCCCACCCCAGAGGATACCCTGAGTACTTACCAAGACCCAAGCAAGAAACTCTGAGTCCTGATTTTCCGAGATTCCTGCAATAAAAATAAAGTGACACATGGTTATTGCTTCCTCAGGTGAAACTGTACACATTTAACTATGAATATTTTATCTACCTTTTGGCAATATTCTTGACAAGAGTCGTGGTCGAGGCAGGGCCACTGATGCAGGCTTGTGGCCTTAGGAAGAGTATTCCTTTGATGGCCAGTTGGACACTAGGAAATTCAAAATCTTCTCAGGCTAAGCACAGAACAAAATCTTCCCCCAGAACACATTTTTTCAGTCCCAAATTATCTTCTTTATTATTTTGTTTACACGTTTGTCGGTTTTCTCTTGCTTTCTAGAGTGTGAGCTTCATGAGGGCAAAGATCTTTACCTCATCATCAACGATTCATTCATTATTCAGTAACAGAGCCTGACACACAGTAGAACTTACTAAATATTTTTGATTTATTGAGTGGCAAATTGACTTTTAAAATGGATATTATTGTTAATGGATGGGGATTATTAAAAGAACAAATACAAAACTACCTTTCAGGTTATCTTAACTATATTATATATTATTTTTATGCAAGGCAACATAACATTATCACAGGAAGGTCAGATAGTCCTTTTAAAATGATTCTTTTCTGCCGGGCTCGGTGGCTCAGCCTGTAATCCTGTGCCTTTGGGAAGTTGAGGTGAGTGGATTGCCTGAGCCCGCGGGTTCGAGACCCGCCTGGGCAGCGAGACCTCATCTCTACAATAAATCAAAAAATTAGCCAGGCGTGGTAGCGCGCGCCTGTAATTCCAGCTACTTGGAAGGCTGAGGCGGAAGGGTCGCCGGAGCCCAGCAGGCGGGAGCGGCTACTGCACTCCAGTCTGGGTAACAGAGTGAGACTCCAACTCAAAAAATAAATAAATAAATAAAATGATTCTTTTATTTCTCAACATTCTCTGTTCCCAAAAGTTTATCAAGGAAAATAAATATATTTTTGCTTTCTAAATAGGGATAGAACTAGTAGCTTTAGTATTCACTTGCCTATATGTGGATAAATAGATAGATAGATAGATAGATAGATAGATAGATAGATAGATAGATAGATAGGGTTTTTTTTGAGTTGGGGTCTCACTCTGTCGCCCGGGCTGAAGTACAGAGGCACAATCACAGCTCACTGTGGTCTCAACCTCCTGGGCTCAGGAGATCCTTCTGCCTCATTCTCCTGAGTAGCTGGTACCACAGGCACATGCCACCACACCCAGATAACTTTTTTAGTTGTATGTAGAGGCAAGGTCCCACTATATTGCCCAGTCTGGTCTCGAATTCCTGGGCTCAAGCGATCCACCCACTTTGGCCTCCCAAAGTGCTGAGATTATAGGCATGAGCCACTGCAACTGGGCAGCCTATATGTCTTTGTCTTTGGAAATTCAGACATAACCCGTTTTTCTATCTTCTGACTAACAGCTGTCAGAGAAAAAAACAAATTCTTAGAGAGAAGATGTCTTGCTGCGTTAGTGTAGGGTCCAAAGTGAAGTGGCGAAGTTTAAATAATCATAACATCATAGAAAAGTATACCCCTTATTCTCTGATAAGACATTTTTATAAGAAGACAACTTCCCTCCCTGCTTTCAGCACAAACAAAACTTTCACAGCTCAACTTTCCCAGATTCTCCCTTAATTCGTCATTAGTTCTGGATTCTTTAGAATTAGTAATTAGTACTCTCATTTTGGCCTCATATTTCTTTCTTCTGCTTATTAACATTGTCTATAAAATGCCACCTAAGCAACACATCTAATTGTGCAGCCTAATAAAAAACGCATCACCATGTAAAGAGTTGAAAGATCTGGACTTTGAACCCGCTGTCAAAACTAGTTGGGTGATCCTGGGGAAATAATTTCTTTGTCCTGGGGTTCAGCCTTTTCCTTCATAAGATGGGACTAGGATACTTGTGCCATCCACCTAGCATCACTGCTGTGGGGCCAGAACGTGAGAATGTCTGCTAAAGTGTGAGACGGTACACAGATACAAGGTGTCATGGCTTCTGACGCTCTGGCACTCCTCCCTGTCTCAAGTACATGGTGCTAGATTTTCTCGTATTAATTGGGTATGTTCAACTGGAAGAAAACTGTTGCATAAAAATGCATGTGAAAAGGTCGTTTGAACTACCCAGTAGGAAAAAAATAATTGGACTAGCCCCAGTGAGCCTAATTTTCATAAGAAATTGTTCTCTTAGTAGTTTTCTTCAGAAATCCAAGAGATGAGCACATAGAAGACCTTTCTTTGTAGTATAAAAGTCTACCGAGTTGAAAGAAGTGATATCTAGAGCAAATACTATCTGATGGGGAGACTTTTAAAAAGAATGGAAGGCAAATACAGTCTCCTTTCCCCAGTGATTGCTATTGGTGGCTTTGTCGGAGATAAGTTGGTTGAAAGACTGTTTTTGCTTCTAGAATCTCTGTCTTGTTCCAATGGTCTATGTGCCTATTCTTGTAAAAATACCAGGCTATTTTGGTTACCGTAGGCTTGTAATAAAGCTTAAAGTCTGGAAGTATGATACCTCCAGCTTTATTCCTTTTGCCGAGAATTGTTTTGACTATTTGTGCTCTTTTCTGTTTGCATATGAATTTCTGTGTTGTCCTTTCCAGGTCTGAAAAAAAAATGATGTTGATAATTTGATGAGTCTTGTATTGAATATGTAGGTTGCTTGGGTAGGATGGACAATATGAATTTTTCTAATTCATGAGCATGGAATGGTTTTCCATTTGTTTGTGTCATCCTTGATTTCTTTGAGCAGTGATTTGTAGTTGTTGTAAAGGTCTTTCACTTCTCTTGTTAGTTGGATGCCAATGTATTTCATTGCTTTTGTAACTAAAGTGAATGGGATTGTGCTTTTTTATGTGGTTTTTTGCTTGCTTGTTGCTGGTGTATAGAAATGCAACTGTCTTTTGCACATTGATTTTGTAACTTGAGACTTTACCAAACTGACTGACCACATGCAGAAGAAAGAAACTGGACCCCTACCTATCATATACAAAAATCCACTAAAAATGGATCGAAGACCTAAACGTAAAACCTCAGACTATAAGAATCCTAGAAGAAAACATAGGAAATACTTTTATGGACATCAGAGTAGGCAAAAAAAATTCTTGACCAAGTTCCCAAAAGCAAATGCCATAAAAGCTAAGATAGATAAGTGGGACCTCATCAAACTGAAAATCTTTTGCATAACAAAAGAAACCATGAAGAGAGTAAAGAGACAACTAACTCACAGAATGGGAGAAAATATTTGCATATTATGCATCTGATGAAGGCCTAACATCCAGGACCTACAAGGAACTCAAATGAAGTGAAAGGAAAACAACAAATAGCCCTATTAAAAAGTGGGCAAAGGAAATGAACAAACATTTCTCAAAAGATGACATACAAGCAGCCAACAGACAAATAAAAAGTGCTCAGCCTCACTAATCATCAGAGAAATGCAAATCAAAATTACAGTGAGATACCACCTAACTCTGGTAAGGATGGCTATCATTAATAAGTCAGAAAACAAATGCTGGCGCGGGTGCAGAGAAAAGGGAACACTTCTACTGTTGGTGGGAGTGCAAGCTAGTTCAACCTCTACGGAAAGAACTGTAGCAATTCCTAACAGAACTAAAAATTGACCTTCCATACAATCCAGCAATTCTTTCCTTGGGAATATTCCCAGAAGAACATTCTACAAAAAAGACACCTGCACATGCATGTTTATTGCAGCACTATTCACAATAGCAAAAACAAGGAACCGACCCCACTGCCCGTTGGAAATGGACTGGATAAAGAAAATGTGGTACATATACACGATGGAGCATTACACTGCCATAAAGAAGAACAAAATCATAGACTTTACAACAACTTGCATGGAGTTGGAGACCATCATACTTAGTGATCTATCACAGAAACAAAGAACTGAATACTGCATATTCTCACTCATAAGTGGGCCTTGAATATTAGTCACATTAGCACAAGGGAGGGATTGGCAGTAACTGAGAAAATGCTAGGAAAGAGAGGGAGGGAGGACAGTGAGGGTCACATGACAACACAAAGGGTACTTGGTTCAGGGGAAGTGACGGCCAATTAGAAGCCCAAACTTCATCTGCCTGCAGCCTACTTATGTAGTTAATCCTTGCTTGTACCCCACATTACCACAATTAAAAAAAAAAGACTGGAAGGCTGGGCACAGTGACTTACGCCTGTAATCTCAGCACTTTGGGAAGGCTGAGCTGGGAGGATTGCCTGAGCCCAGGGGTTCAAGACCAGCCTAGGCAACATAGCGAGACCTTGTCTCCATAAAAAACCCAAAAATTATCTGGGTGTGGTGGCACATGCCTGTAGTCACAGTTACTTGGGAGGCTGAAAATTCCTTCTACCTCAGAAGGATTGCTTGAGTCCAGGAAGTTGAGGCTGCAGTGAGTGGTGATCATGCCACTACATTCCAGCCTGGGTGATAGAGTGAGACTCTGACTCAAAAAATTTTAAAAAAGGGACTGAAACGAAATTAAATTTAAATATATATATTTATATATGAATAATTTAATCTTCCAGGTAGAGGCATTCAACATTGATCAATAATAAATACCTACTGAAACTAACCATATCCCAAGGCAATATACAAGGTCATGGGGGTACAGACAGGAACAAGGCACAGTTCTCTATCCTCAAGGAGCCTAGAGCCCAGTGACAGACACAGAAGAGCAAACATGTAATTACAGCAATGTGAGTTTGTACTGAATTCAGTATAGTGGGGCATGCCCTGCCATGGAGAAGGGGTGGGGACTTCCTTAAGTTTGTATTTGCATAGCTTTGTGGGTGTCATGGGGAAAAGGATCTAGATAAGGGTTACAATGTAATTTTAATATCTTCCAGTAATTTTGAAAATAATAGGAAGAGTTGACTTGATGCAGGGCAAGAGTTCTAGGGCGAAGAGTTTATAGTCCAGAGAATTTTCTCAGAAACTCAAATACGGCAAGGTTAGATCACTGAGTATTTACTGAACAACATTTCAGCACCCAAGGTGG